ATTACCAGTGTTCTACAAGAGATCTGTACTTATTGAAGTTATGTTAAATTTGATCTAACCATGTAATGTTGCACAATTTATGCAGCTTGTCCTGTGAACTTTGAGTTCTTGAACTACACCATCATCACAAGCAGGTGCAAGGGGCCTCAATACCCTACCGATCTCTGTTGCCCAGCTTTGACAGATTTCGCTTGCCCTTACGCCGAGGAACTCAACGACTTATCTAATGATTGCTCTTCAACCATGTTCAGTTACATTAACCTGTATGGAAAATACCCTCCTGGTCTTTTCTCTAGCGAGTGCCGGGCTGGGAAGGAAGGTCTGCCATGCCCTGCACAACCGCCCTCCACTTCATCCGATCTAAACTGGGGTTCAATAACAAGTTTCCCATCTCGTTCGCTGTTCCTCGTGGCTGGATTCGTACTTCTGTCTTGGCTATTATGATAAGGTCCAAAGATCCCGCCATTTTTCACCATTCTTTCTTCCAATTTGTTACTATACTTTTAAAAGTTCAAACTTGCTGAAAAAAAACTGCAATTCTTTTCTCCTATGTATTTATTAATGTATCTACTACCTCCCTAATAGCTGTGGAAAGTGAGTTCTTATATTCATGAGATTGGACGGCAAAAGCTTTTATTTGAGGTTACTGTGTTTTCTATTTGTCAAAGGAGGTTTGGTGTATCATCATCATATATTATATATAGAGCTGCTTGTTATGTAATATAATATAATTAATTTAATAAAAGTTATCATTTAAAGTTAGATTTGAATTTTTAGTTTGGTTTAATTACACGTTAAATTTATACAGTAGTTGTCTAATTGGGTCGTGAATTTCAAAAAGTGTCTCAACTCTAGAGTGTATAATAAGTCATTATACTTTAAAAAGTTTCCGATATGATTTTGACAAATTCAATCTAGGGCAAAATACATTTTTTTTGTCCCTGAAGTTTGAGTTAGGTGTTTATTTGGTCTTCAAAGTTTCAAAATGAATACTTTAAGGTGGAAATTCTCGTATTCGGAATGTATGTGTTCATGTGGCTAGCTACGGCTATAAACCCTTTCTTGTTCCTATTAACAAAACATCCCCTTTTTCTTGGCTCTTTCGGAATCGGTACAAAAATGGGTGCTTTTTTTACGTTGTTTACTTTAGTGACTGGGGGTTTCGGGGAAGACTTATGTGGGGCACCTTTTGGGTGTGGGATGCTCGTTTAATGTCTGTATTCAACACTTTTGGTCAATGAGGATTAAATTAGGTGTCAACTTGGTCCCTGAAGTTTTAAAATGAACACTTTTGGTCCCTGAAATTTGAGGAATAGTTCTAAATGGTCTCTAAGTTATTAACCAATATTAAAATGATGTGACAAGTTGCAATTAAATTGTTTATTGTAGTTGGTGATGTGACAAATTATATTAATTAAATAATATATGTCCGGTATGAATGGAGGACGGCGGCGGCAAAGACGTGGTGGTCGTCGGAAAAGGGAGAGAGGAAGAGATGAGGAGAGAAGACAGAAAGTACGATCACCTACTCATATGTTATTTAATTAATATAATTTTCCATGTCAACCAAGTAGACACCTATCTCAAACTTCAGAGACTAAAAGTATTCATTTTGAAACTTCGTGGACCAAATAGACACCTACCTCAAACCTTAAGGACCAAAAATGTATTTTGTCCATCAATCAATTATGAAGTATATATTTTAATTTTTTGTCTAATACATTTGCGACTTTAAAAGAATCGTAAATAGGTTAGAGATTTAAAAGATATAAATTAAAAGTTCTAAAATTGATTAAGACACATTTATAGTTTAGAGATTTAGTAGATACAAAATTAAAAATTTAAGAACTTATTTGATATTTTTTAACGTATAAGGATTTTTTTAATACAATAAATTGGGGTATGGAAGTCTAAATTGAGCTCGGAGTACATTTCAATTACACCCGAGTAATGTTCATGGTGATAATGTTTAAAGGACCTGTCATACACTATCTAGAAAGCTAAAGATTTAAACTTGTAATCTAACCTTTTAGTCATTATTTGTAATAATTTTATATTTCCTTGAATTAAAATTCATGTCCACGTGATACAATATGAATAATTAATGTACGTGACTTTGTTTTTTTAGTACAACATGTTGGGGAGGGGATTAGCTAGGTTCGCTTTGGCAATGTATATGACTTATTAACCTATAAAGTTATAACTATTTAAGATCTTGCCAAAGCGAGCATAGCTCAACGGTAATTGATGTAAGTTAGAATAAATGTAAGTTGTACTAAAAAAACTATTTAAGATCTTAATTATGCCTATTTTTTTTAGTACAACATGTGGGGTGGGGGTTCAAACTCATAACCTTTTGATTAGAGATTTTAAACTATGCTCGGTTTGGCGATCTTAATTATGCCTATTAACTTAGAATAAGATGAATTTCACAAAATAATAATAATAATAATAATAATAATAATAATAATAATAATAATAATAATAATAATAATAATAAGATGTAAGTTTTTAAAAAAGTAGGGTTTGTTTGAAAGTTATAATAGAAAAAATTATTTTTCTCCTTTTATGTTTAAAACTTTTTTGGCATGTTAAGTTTTAAAAACGGGTATGGTAGAAAATAAAAGTAATGTTTTATTACTTTCCATATATTATCAACTAAATAATAACAAATTAGAATTTAAAAAATAGCAAAATAAAAATACGATATTATTTATAGAAGTACATATTTTTAAATTTAAAATGAAATAAAATTTAGGGTAAACTGCATAAACCACCTTTAAACTAAAGTAAGTGTTACAATTATACCCATAAGTTTCAATTATAAAAGTTAAACCCTCGAATTTTTATGAAAGAAAAAATTAAACCCCTAAATTTTAAATAGTAAAAATTAATCCTCGAATCTTCACAAATGATAAAATTACACCTTCTAAATTTTTTTATGGTAAAAATTAAACCTTAAAATTTTAAAAAATTGGATCTATTTTAGAATTTCACAATGAAAATTTTCTTCATGTTCATTGAATTTTAATTTCACTAAAAGTCGGTCATCCTCTAATCACAATCACAATTGTTGAATTTGACAATCCAACGGAGAATCCACAAGTTGACTAAACAAATTTCTTCCTCCATTATGCAAATTCCCTTTTAACATCACCATTCTTTTCCAGTGGCCTAAATTCCTAGTCATGTTTCTTCCTTCTCTTCTTCCCCACATCTTTGGTCGCCGTCCAAGCCTAGAAGCTTCTCTGCCTTCTCCACCTTCCAAGTTCCAATCCCATACCGTTTGGTTCCTCAATATCTCAACCGACGACGTCGTTTGATCTGCCAATCATCTATCTCCGATCAACTGCTCGACAACTCTAACCGACGCACCCTCTGGCCTGCTTCAGGCAAAACCTTTGGCCTTCTAAGAATGTTTTTCGAAACCCAAATTTCACCTAAAAGTTTGATTTTCTCTCTGACATTTTTCAAGCGTCGAATATATTGTGTCAGATGAAATATCTGAGACTCTATCTCCTGATGAACAGAAGCTCTAGCATCCCCACGCAAACGAGGTTTTCAACCAATTAATTTAAATACCTGAGAGCTTCCAAATCTGACTACAATGGTGGAGATTTGATCTACACAAAAACATGGGAGAGCTTCCAATTTCCAACCAACACCATCGATGACTTCCAATTTCATAGATCCAGTTTAAAAAAAAAAAAATTTAGGATTTAATTTTTATTTTTGGTGCAATTTTATGGAAAAATTAAGGGTTTAATTTTTACTTTTCAAAGTTTAGGGTTTGATTTTTTCTTTTTATGAGAGTTTGAGGGTCTAATTTTTATAATTGAAAGTTTAGGGGTATAATTGCAACAACTATCATACTTCAGGGGTGGTTTATGCAATTTACCCTAAAATTTAATTACAATCGCTCATCTACCATATTTAAAAACTATATTATAATATTTTATTTGTAAAAATATGATATATTTTAAAATATATTTTACTATATCATTTAATAAAAATCATGAAAGAACAAATTTATAGAATTAAAAAAAAAAATCAAATTTTACACCACATACGCATTAATTTTTACCTTAAACTTTGAAGGGTAAGTAGTTGCAATTTCTCTTATCTAATAGAGTTTCACTTGAAAAACTATTACAAAAAACATAATTTTTTTGGGCATTAACAAATTATATAACTTATATTTGGTGTAAAATCAATATTAATACAACTTCGGAGAAAAACAACACTAGTGATTTTTAGAATGTTTTCACATTGTTTCTTTTTCTAAATTAGCAAGTTATTGGAAAGGTGGAATAAATTTTTTTTAGGAAAATTGCCGTGGGTAGCAAAAAATTTTTATATATTTCAAAATATGTCAAATATTTTTTAAAATTTTCAAATATAGTGCAAATTTTCACTTATATCAGTAGTATATCAGATACTCATATTAGTATACTAGGTGCTCATTAATATATCAAATATATATCACATATATATATCAATAGTATCATTTGGGTAAAGTTTTAATGAAGAAAAGTTGGGAGAAAGAGTAAGAAAAAACTCTTTATATTAATTATAATTCAAAATAAGTTATAGATTTTCAATATAGAAATAAAGAGACAAAACTCTCGCATTCTAACTCTTTATATCCTAACAAAGAGAAAATTAATTTGAGAAAAGTAAAATTTATAATGATGGAGATTAAATATTTCAAAAGAAATGAAAAAAAAAGTGGCGTGGGAGGGAGAGAAAGGGGGAGGGAGACAAAATTTTATATTTGAAGGACAAAATTGTCCTCAAAATATCTATGGGAATGTTGAAATTAAATAAGCAAAATAGGAGAAATAGTCACTTTTATATACTAGTCAGCAACACGTGCACGTGAAATTTATCATTTTATTACTATTATCAAATAATTTTGTCATTTGAATACAAATTTCTCGCTCATTTACTCTAATTTGACCTCTCTTTCTAAATAATACCTCTCAATTTTTACAAATTTTCTCACTTTTTAAATACTAATTTTTTTCCACCTGCAACATTTTTCCCTTATAAAAGTAAATTTAATGGAGAATTATTTTTGTAATTGTGGATTTTATAGATGTTGAATTTGTCAATATTTTGTTTCTTTTTTTTAATACAACATGTGGAAGTGGGGTTCAAACTTATGACCATTTGGTCAGAGATAAATACTTTAATCATTAGAACTATTTTCGGTTTGGCTCAATATTTGTATTAATATAGTAAATTACGTCCCAAAATAATAAAAATATAACTTTAATTAAAAATAAAATAAAACAATTATTATTTTTCTATTAATATTCTTTGAAAACACCCTAAAAACAAACATTGGGAATTAGGTGAGTAATGAAAAAAATCACAATTAAAAGAATTCTCTTTGCGCTCTTGACTAAATTTTACAGTTAGCATTTAGATGAACCAACATATATTGTTCTTAATTTACTACTTATTTCCTGGATTATTGATCATGGTATTAGATTTTAATGTTGAGTTTGTTTAATACCGAGTCGAGTTGATTCATTTGAAAAAGAAAGGTAAGAGTGAGAGGAAGATGAAACCCTAAAAAAACATTCTCTACGCTTCATTCGGAATGAAATTAATAGCGATAAACATTGATTTTTTTTTCATAATATTGTAAAAATAATTTCGGACATTGTACATGCATAACTCAAGACATCACTTTTTAAAAATAAATAAATTAAGCCAACATTAGCATACCTCAACGGTAATTGACACCAGTTTTGACTAGAGATCATGAGTTCAAATCCCCCACCTCCGTTTGTACTAAAAAAAGTTAGAAGCATCTATGTTATTCAACCACAAGAATGATTTCTGTTTCAACTCAAGGCACTCTCCAATTTCTCCTGAATAATGATGAATTTCGAGAAAGCCAACGACTACCATCAATTTCAATTCAATTTTAACTCTTCTATCTTAGCTATCAATTCTCCTCTTGATTGCCCATACGCAAGCTGCCGTATCCAAAGCAGGAGAATAAACGCTAAAGAGACAATTGTTCAATCAAATTTGTTGAACCGTCTCTTGATTTTTTTGTTGCCAAGAGAAAAGTGAGGATAACTATTTATTCATGTGGTGGAATTAAAGAGGAAGATGAAAGGATTGGAAGAGGGTGAGGTGAGTATCTCTCTCCTCCAAATTGAAACAGAACACTTATGGGAGATAACGGGGGAAGTTGAATAATTTGACCGGTAAATTAATAAATTATTGCTTTTGTAACATTATTTTTCATTATTAAAATAATACCTATTAAAAAATAAAAAGAATAAAACTTTGTATTTGAATGATTAAAAGTGTCCTCAAAATAATATTGAAAACGATTAAAATAAAAGGGCAACCAAACAGCCGGAAAACTTCTCGAGTCTTATCTCTCCGGCTGTGTCACAAATCGACTGTGCTTCATTTCCCGACGTGTTGTGTTTGATCTGTTTACAATACCATGATCAGATTCAGCAAAATATCCGAACGAATTACTGTTTATGTTCGTCGAATTGTTGAACAATGAAATCATAGTCGATCGATTACACTTGCACCTTTTTTCCTAAAATAATAGCCGGAACAAGTTCTTCGGGGATTTTCTTACCATGTAGCACAGGCTAGACCAGCCTCGGTCAAGGAAGACTTTAGCTAGTGCGATGATATCACGAATTGTATTTGAAGGCTATAGAGATGATGGATAATTCCCACCTATCAAATCAACTCCGGTGAGTGCGCCCTTTTGGGAGCACTGGATCAAAGTGGGATGAATGGAGATTGGTCGGATTTTGGGTGCGGCCATTTTCATTATGCCCATCATGTGTTCGATGAAATGCCCAACAGAGGTATCGTGGGGGTTTAAGTCTTTGTTTTGCCTCGTATGGAGATTTTTCAAACTCCACCCAACTTTTTGATGACCCAAACCCATCATCTTTGTCTCAATCTTGTCTTCTGAGCAAACAAAAGATCAGAGAAGTGAATGGAAGAGCTGAAACTGAGACCTTTTGATGAAAGGAGTAGCTGTTCATGGAAGAATTCAATTTGGTAATTACTCTGCTTTTGTTTCTCCTTATTTGATTACCTGCTGTGTTATTTTCTTCTTTGTTTTATTTTACATTTCAACTCAAGTCTTCGTTTCTTCCTCTTTTTTCTTCTTTTTTTCTGTTTTCAGATGACTGAGAAAGGAATGAAGAAGAGTTAACTAACAGTGATTTCTCCATCTCCAAAGTTGAATTTTCAATGATAGAATATGGTTTCTGATCGGTGCTTCTGCGTCTTCTTTCTGGGTTTTCTCTTCTTTCTTTCACGCCTCTTCATTGTTTCCTCTGCACCTTCCACTTTCATTTCAGGTATTAGTTTATGTTTTTTCTTTTTTCTTTTAGAAATTTGCAAAACCTTGTTAATTATGACAACGGATGATAAACAGACTCGCGATTATGGCAAGTCATCTCAATCCCTCCATACTTTGTTCTGAGTTTATCCAACTATGACTTGACGAGAGTCGAGATAGCCAACCACCCTGAATTTTCTCCTAGTTGAAACTTTCTCTTCATGTGTGAATTTTCAGATGAAATCTTTGAATCTCGAAGTTCAACTGGACGGAGGCTCCTTCAAGATAAAAAAGGTTACCGGTTTCTTGATCATCACGCTTGAAAATTTAGGGACTAAAATAGGATTAAACCTTCTTTTTTCTTTTTCTGTTCATATACTTGACCGTGCTTGGTTTCAGAATCTCTAGTTTCTAATTTTCTTCATGCTCATTTGTTCTGTTTATAGTTGTAGTTATAATGGAGAGAAATGGGAAAAATTAGTGAACGTTTCTTGCATAATTGAGAAATAAAACTTTCACAATTGTTATTATCTTGGATAGCAACAAAAAAGTGGCTAGAGGAGATTGTTAAACTGCTTATAAAAAGTGTTTTCTTTCATTTTTAACCATTCTTTTGTTTTAATATCCTTAATTCCCTCTTTTAGAAGTTGTATGGAGTAATCTGATCATCATGTCATGTCTCTTTTTAACTTAGTTGTGCAGCTTGCCCTGTAAGCTTTGAATTCTTGAACTATACAATCATCACAAGCAAATGTAAAGGGCCTCTATATTCTCCAAAGCTTTGTTGTTCAGCTCTGACCGAATTCGCTTGCCCTTACGTCGATGCCTTGAACGATATGACAACTAGTTGCTCTCTGACCATGTTTAGCTACATTAACCTCTATGGAAAATACCCACCTGGCCTTTTCTCGAACGAGTGTCGAGAAGGAGATCGCGGTCTTGCTTGCCCTCTAATGCCAACTTCGTCCAACCCGAACTCGGCTCCGCTCTTGAAATGTCCGTCTTCTGCAATGATCCTCGCCTCTGGCCTTGTACTTCTGCTGTCATGGCTCGCATGACGCCCCGAGTGCCCCCATTCTTCTTCTTGTTCATCGATATACTTTGTACTCCAAGGAAAAACTCATCTCTTAATAACTCGTGTTCATGAGGTTGGCCATGGTAGAGGGACTTCTCACTTCTTGGGGCCATGAAAGCTGTTTTGTATCACAAACTTCATATTTGTATCATCAAACCCTTTGTTACAAATGACACTCATTGTGTACATTATCTTTATACATAATAAAATGGTTTAGCAGGTGTGTTAACCTAATGGAAATTTTAATGGCTGGCAAATAATTTTATCATGACAACTTTGTAAGTTGACGTCTATCATTAATACACGTCCATAGATACATACTAGTGATATTAGTCTAGGTCGAGCCAACTTACACATGGTTGAATGAATAAAACACATATTATACCGTATCCGAAATTGATGGTGGAAAAGATGTGACTATTTTGAATGACCACAAATGGTCCATAAACATGCTGGATTTCTCTTCTCTTCTCACGTACGATTGCCGACAAACTTCAATCTTTGTTAAGTTCAAGTGCTACATTCACCGAGATCGAGAACATAGAATACAAAATTATCTCGTTTGGTTAAGAGCTCCCTTAATTTCCTTATGTTGGTCAAACAAAACAACTATTCTTTAAAATTAGATGGTAGACTGTGGGAACCAAAGTCAAGGTCAGTCAACGCTGAAGCAATTTATAAGAACTCACTCAAAAACATCCTCTGCCACTGCCAAATCGCTCTGAAGATGAAGAAAATGGAGTCCGATCCAAATCCATGCTTCTCCCTCTTCCTTCTGATCATCCTTCCGACACTTTTCGCCGCCGCAGCCGCCGCCGCCGTTTCAGGTAATCAGAATTAGGTTTCAGACGTTCGAATTTCATTTGCTCCGCCGCTTCAACACTTTAATTTTTCGCTGAAATTGCAGGCCATATCTCTGGATTTTATTTTGCTCGATGTTTAAGACACTTCTAATCAGTTCAACTCGATCGTGTTTGGGAGTGATTTATAATTGTTTTTAGAAAAAGTCAAACGTGCTCACAAGTGCTTTATGAGGAAATATCTGTAGAGATGTTTTGGCTGATGGAGTGATTTTAGATTTTCGTTTTCTGTTTTTGGTTTTTAGTTCTCTTTTTTTGAAAAAATACTTTTTAGTTGTTTGTTTTTAAAAAAAATAGAAGACCGAACATATTTGACAACCATTTTTGGTTTTTCACTTTCAAAATATCAAAAACCAAAAATCAAATAGATGTTTGATAACTATTTTTTATATTATGTTTTTCTTAAATAGAATGTATAAAAATTTATTTTTTTAATATTATTTTAACTAATATATGTGCGGGTCTAAATCTATTTCAAGTTGTTTTGAATATCTAATATCCTTCTACCCGCTCTAATGAGAACGAGATAGACGTTAAAAAATGAACAAATCCACCATCACTGAGATTCATATAATAATACACTTACTCTTAATGTTTACTAATAATTACTTGTTTAGTGAAGATAAGATAACAAAAATTAGCAAGAGTAATAGTCAATCTCGTGTTTGAGTTGCCATCCAAAGTTTATCTTTGATTCACTTTCATTTGCTCTCAACATCGTAAATATCAGTACAAATGGTTTTCATGGTTGTCTTTGATTCACTCTCATTTACTCTCAGCATCGTAAATATTGATTCTGAACAAAAAGAAAAGCATAAAGTTTTCCCCTTTCTTACATTTATGTCCGACAAATTTCATCTATCTTAAACAAAAAGCCTTCCACTTCCACCAATAAAAAGTTTTAGCTATAGATCATTCTTAATTCTTATGAACATGTGGGATGAGATTATGTTTTGTATTTTTTTTCTTTTTCTTCCTTTTTTAGGAGATTGGGAGCGGAATGAATATTCCAATCCCACTCTCTCCCCAACCTCTTTTCAAAATCATCACGTAAAGATCGAAATGACAAGAAATGAAAACAACAGGAAACATAACCATCATGGATGGTCTATTGGTCCAAATAGACTCAATGATTATCAACCTGACTCTTTTTAACTGTGGGATTAATGCAGGTTGCCCAGTGAATTTTGAATTTGCTAACTACACCATCATCACAAGCAAGTGCAAGGGGCCAGAATATCCAGCCAATCTTTGCTGCTCAGCTTTAGCAGAATTTGCTTGCCCTTACGCCAAATATCTCAATGATTTGAGCAATGACTGTGCTTCAACTATGTTCAGTTATATTAACCTTTATGGAAAATACCCATCTGGCCTCTTTTCCACCCTCTGCTCCAATGGAAGCAATGGCCTTCAATGTCCAACTTCTTCGCCAATTCTTGATACTTGCCATGTGCAAAGGGTAAGTATCTCCCACGTTCATCCTTTGTGATTCTGACTTTGTATGTTCCTGTTTTAGTTGGTGTTACGATTCTCGAAAAAGTGTGGGTGTAGAAGTTCAAAGTATGATCGAGTTATACAGTGGCGAATCCATAAATTTTTTACGAGTGCGTAGTTTCAAGAATTCATGAAAGTATGATTTTAAGGCTGTCAAAGCCCTTTTTGTGATATCCTTTACAAACTTGATTTCAAATATAACAATTATAATCAATAAGTCTAGTTTTTAGACCCCGATTGGCTAATAATTCTTCTAAATTTATTTAGTAAAATATCCCTTAGAACTATTATTTTCCTAATAAACATTGAATGTTCTTTAAACTATTAAATAATAATTTTCGACTTAAATGATATAATTTATATATCTTTATTACTTTTTAAATTCTAAAAAATAATTAAAATTAATTATTAAACCAATAATTTTTCTCTTGATCTTAGACCTTGATTCCCGAAATCAAATAACGCATTGGAAATGAGAATTAAAAATTTTCATGAAAGAAAACATCCCAACTCTTACCCAACACCGTTGTCATCTCTATTTTAGATAGATTTTTCTATCAACATATATTTTTTATTTTGTTACTTTTTAAAAACAGAAAACAAAACCAGTCATCAAACATATATAATTTTTATTCTTAAAAAACAAAAAACCAAAAACTAAAATCATAGGTTATCGAACAGGACCGTAACTTTTTAATTCCCTGATTTTGTTCATGAACTAGATTTGTAAAACAAAGATGCACATAACATATACATATATCTCTTAATTTTATGATAACAAATATTACAAAATTTAACTTTTATCACATAAATCAACACATAAAATATAAACTTTTAATTTTGATGTCGCGTTAGCATCGAAATTAACGGGAAAAATCCAATCAAATTTTCGTTGAAAAACTGACAGAATGTCAAAAACACTCTAGAAATCCCAATCAAATTTCAAAAACCAAAGAAAATAAAAAACTACCCTTTTTCCAGTTTTCAAAATCTAACAAGAACTTCAAAACACTTTAATAAAACAAAGAAAATATTAAGAAACAAACACGGTTTTGGAAAACAGAAAACGAAAATCATTCCATTCAATACTTGGAGGAGTCAAAGAAGGACAAGTTCAAGGTTCCCTCAGCTAACACAGTATTAACTACTAACTAGTAAGAGTAAATTACTAAAGGCATGCATAAAAACCTACTGGAGTTTATTGCTCACCAGAAAATAGTGGAATATTAGACAAGATTGTCCACACTGTGATGCAATTTGAGCAGCTGATAATGCCTTTGAGTTCATCCTAGAGCCTAAAATCTTTCAACACCTGACAACCGCCACTTTCGCTGCTCCACAGATTTGGACATTCCTAACACACAAATCTTAACATTAATAGTATATACTTTCTAAACCATACGACGCCTTCGGGCAATGCTCACCACGCAATTCTGAGGAAGACAAGGATGATTAGTTCTGTCCTTACTAGGCAACGAAGTCAGTTTCTCAAGCTCCATCTGAAGATATAAATAAAACATAGCTCCAAATTTCCAATACGAATCGCATAGCTAGCTACAGCTACAAATTATACACTTTGCTTCCTTCTGCACGAATAAACTACGATGCAATGTTTCCTCCTTAACT